AACAAGGATCTCCTACCTATTTCCACTCTTCCCTGACTTCCGCGGCCAACTTGGGAGTTTTGGGACGACCTCATGGCACCATGTTGGCAACTCGGCCGTCAGTCTGTCATATTTCTAAGACTTATAAAATATATTCACATTCTGGCCATACATACATATATATTGTGTGTGTATTTCTAACTGGGCTCCCTGCTCGCCTTTTGTTTTGTGCGTTTTTAGTCGTGTGTTTTGTTTCGTTTTGTTTTTCCCTCGCTGTGGCAACATATTTCACTGCATAATTTCCTAGCTGATGTGACTGTTGTTGCCCTCTTCCACTCGCAACGCATGCAAATGACAACAGCAACATCACGAGCGGCAAAAACAAGCAACACTAAAAAAGTTGACAAGGGGCAAGCCGCAACAAACGTCTAACTGACAGTTGTCGTTGGGTCCCACTATCTATAAAATATTCCACAAGGTATATCGAATATTATCGAAAAATAACGGGATGTCGATTGGAATCTGTTCTAGCAATATTTCCCTAAATACATTAACATTTCCATACAAAAAATGGGCAGCGATAGTTTATTTAGGCAAATTGAAATTGTATTCAAAAAGATTTGTTTAAAAAAATTGTTATTTTGTTTTGCATACTATGGAAGTTCAGTTCATGTTTAATAAAATATTTTTATAAAGTACAATGAAGGACTTAGTTTTTCTGCAGGATAAATATAATAGATAAGATTCTTTTACTTATTTATTTAAAATAAAAACAAATTACTATATATACTTAAATCGTCGAATTTTAAACATATACAAACCTTTATTCTCCGTATGGGTTTGATAATAATAACCCAAATTATAGTTTTTCATGAACTCATAAATATAAATTGCACATATTTCAAGCACTTCTAAACCTACAGGATACAAAGTAGTTGCTATTCCTAGAAAACCTGTCGCCTGGCAACCATTTTTTCAGCTCTGTGCTTGGCTTGTTATCATTTTTTAATAACATTGTTGCGCACAGCGGTAAAATTTGCATAAAACACACAGCGGGCGACTGGCGACGGGACGGCAAATGGATGGAGAGCGGCTGAGGGAATCGGGAATGGGACTGAGACTGCGGGGGGGGGATGAGGATCCATGGGGACAGCGGCGACGTCGGACAACATGTGGTATGAGTAATTTCTGGCTTAAGCACAAGACAACGGCACGAGCGTGCTTTATGATTGCGAGTGTGTGTGTGCGTGTGTGTGTGTGTGGGAATGACGCGATAGAATAAAACAATTTTCATACAAATTCCGTGCATTTGCATAAATTTCATGCACTCCGGACGTGGCGATGTCGTCATTTTCATTTTCATCTACTTAGCAAAGTGCGGTGCGATACGAGTAACTGGGATGGGGGCGTGGCGGCAGGTGGGCGTGGCTGATGAAGGCATCGGAGCATGACATTTAAACCGACGCGTATAGGGTATCTGTGGCCCATTTCCCAGGACATCCTCTTTCACACGCCTGTAAAAGTTTGCGGCACAACTTTTTGTCGCTTTGGCAATAATCATAAAATTTCACTGCATATGAAACAAAAAACCATAAAAGCGGTACAAAAAAGGGAGCAGAAGAAACGTGATTGCAGCATAAAAGCGTCATTTACATGCCGTTGTCGTTGTCGCTGCACTTGCATCACTCTCATCGCATCCTGTCGTCCTGTCGTCCTGTCGTCCTGTCGTTCTGAAGTCCTGCTGTCCCACCATCTGAATGTCCTGGAGTCCTGCCATCGTCGTCCTGGTCCATTTGCGCATGCGTCGCAAACTTTTCCGTTTGCCATTTTCCGCCTCAATAGTTCCCAGTGTTTTTCCCCCGCCCCGCCCCACGGCTTTATTGAGGTTTTGTTTAAGCTTTTAGCGTAGTTTCCATTTTTTGGGTACAATTTTTGGGGTGAGGGAGGAGAGGGGGGGCGCCCCGCCAGCTACCCATTCCATTCCATTTGGCCAAAAAAAGTTTTTTCAGTTCTGTGTTTGGCCGGCAGCATTTTTGCAATTAGGCAACTGTTCTATACGAGTACATTTCTTTTTTGCTTTTCTTTTAGTTTGCCAAATGCAATGGAACTTTTCATTTTCGGCCACAGTTGCAGAGTTTTCATTGCTAACAGCATTCGACACACACTCACACACACACAAACACACACACAGAGGGACAGAAATTGGTGCGTAATTGAGACCGAATGTAAAAGAGGGACTTTGGGAGGCAGTCATAACAGCCTTTTGAGGTTCTTTTTTATTTGGAACAATTTGAAGAGGAATATTTATTAAATTATGAGTGGAAATTTGCATGGGAAAAATTATTTAATTGGATATGGTATTTTTTATTGGTATTCCAGACGAACATTTTATTTGATAACGGTCGAAATGGGAAAAACTTAATGGACTCCTATTTTAAGGTTTTTATTCCAAAAGGAAACTTTATTGAAATTAGTATGGGTTGTGCAGAAGGATTTCACAGTTTTATTAGCATAGACTCGCTCTGAAAAGTATGCTATCTAAAATAATGTTACAACATTGTTTTCCAGCAGAGAATTATCTTATCAAATCATTACATTTAAAATTTAAGCAAAAATTCAAAATATTTTATTCTATACAAATCAGCAGTATTTTAAATCAACTTTAATAATAGCAATATGGGGTCTTTATTTACATTTATGAGATATACATCATAGTCCGATTAACTTAGATTGAACAATAGTATTATATTGATTTCTGTGCTACAAATTACATATAAAAGCATTTCACTGGTTCTTATGTTCATCTCCAATAATTTTCCAGTGCTTTAAAGTTTTAAATGCCTCAATCTCGGTTATGAACGAACCATTAATCCATCGCCCACCTGCAGTTAGACATCTACAGATGAAGACAAACTCGTATCGGTCTTTGTAATCTATTTGCTTGTTGTTGGCACTTCATTCCATTTAACGCTAAGCAAGCGGAAGCCTCATCAATATGATGGTCGTGTCGCATTATCAAACGTATTTATTTGGCAAACAGCAAGATGTAAGCAGAAACAAGACGCCGACAAAGCTCGAGCATAAAGATAAACTAAGACGCTCTTATCGCCCGAGATGAAAGCAACGAAAAATGGCAAAGGAATTGCCGAAGGCACACACATGCACACACACACACACACACGGACACGTAAGGACATTCAGAGGAAGAAGAAAAGGAGGTGGACATTGTGGATACAAAAATATTGGCCACGTTGACAGCTTAACGTACATAATTAATGTGACAATCTAAGGGAATGCGTGTGTCCGGGTGTGCGGACATTAATATATGGGCATTGGGCCAGATAAACATGTTGCCAAAATGATCAGCCCGGGCACACATACTGGCCCACAAATGACGGGGCCGACATTAATTACAGCCTGGCTGCCTTTTGGCCAACTGCTCAACTAAAACCGCCAACTCATTAAAGGAGCGCTCATCTTGGCCGCAGCCAACTGGGCGTATGCGTGACGCTAGCTAAATAAATTGAGAGACAAACAACAGACATTAAAAGTTTTTATTGTCCAAATGCGTTCTCACCAAAAATATATAAATGCTCACATCCGCACACGAGGCGGCCCAGCATCCTCGGCAACAAAAAGCATTAAATTACTTTATAATCCGTTTATAGCTTTGCCCGGAAGTGGTCCAGACACAAACAAACAAACAAACAAACAAACGAACGAGCAAACACTGGCAAACACTCACCAACCGCCTCATGGGAGGCCAACTCAACAGCATAATCAAATCAAAGATTACGTTGAAACATTGAAATTACGTCTAGAGCAGAAAGCACTCATAGTCATAGACACTACCACACACAAGCCACACACACACACATACCCATACTCAGAAACACATAGACAAGGCTCTTCATTCCATATCCTTGTTGGCCGAAATTAAAATGTTTTTTCAACTGCTCTTGCAACTTTTTGATACTCACGATACGGGCTTTGGGATATGGTGAAATATTTTGTGAGAGCATTCCCGCTTGTTTTAATAAAAGTTTTATTGTTTCCAAACATTTTAAATAAATAAACTATTCTAGAAAGTTGTATCCTTAAAAAAATATAGACATAAATTGTAGATCATAAGCTTGAATACCTTCTACCAAATAACTTGGTTAGAAAGAAATGAAAACTTTAATTTGTATTACCAAAACTTCACATTTTCTTATTATATTTGGAAGACTTATAAAAAGCAGCTTTAGGATTCTCCTAAGATTTTTGTTTAAAATCTTGAATGCAATTAAATAATGATATCTTATACATATATATATATATTGACTCATTGTAACTCAACTATGGCCACTAGCTTAGATTATGGGTAATTATTTTACTTCCCATTAATGTTGAAAATTAGATTTTCAGTGGCTTTTCAAAATCACGTTTAATACAATTAATAGCTTTTCAGAAGCGGATTAAACCAGGCTTAATATAATTTATAATAAATTACTTATATCGCACCCTGACAACATAAAACATTCCCATAACCCTAAGAAATAGTTGCTTAATCGCTTTTGTAAAAGACAATTATTGCATTTAATTGCTTTTCATGAGCCCAATGAAACCCAATTTTGGTACCCATTACCACTCGAGTATTCCCCCGTCGAGAACCGAAAAATTCGCAGCCTAACGTGAGGCGTCACTCGGCAGCCGCACAAACAATTACAAACACAAAACGAGAGGCTGTACAACTTTGACCCTGGGAAACGTAAACAGCAAGAACTACGGAACTATGGAGCACAGAAAAAAGTAGAAAAAAAAACAAAAACCGGGGAAAGACCGTAATAACTTTGCTTCATTCATGCACACAAGGTGATTCATGTTCGAAGGACTCGGCCTGCGCACTCTCTCTTTCGCTCGGCTCTCCCCATCTCTTTCGTCCCGTATCCCTGTCCTGCTCTCTTTCGAAAAGCTGACAACCCTGCTGAGCGCACATTTCCAAAGCAAAAGCCATGGCTTTTATCAGTTGGCTCGCTGACTTTGTCCTGTGAACTTCGTCGCGCTGAGAAGTCCTTCGAAATTTTCACATTTTCCCTTTTTTGGTGTGAGTGCTACGTATTTTGAGCGCCCGTGTGCGTGTGTATGTGTGTGTGTCTGTGTGAGGGCGCCAAGTTTTGTCGGTTAGACTTTAACCACCAGTAAACAACAACAAAACAGAGACATTCACCAAAAAAAAAAAGAAAAGAAAAGGGAAAGGACAAAGGACAAAGGACAATACAGCCTGCGGCCAGGGAAACCGCAATCAAAAATTGTAAACAAACTCTGGAAATTGAGAAAAATCAACAAAGGAAGACGACGCCGCCAAGTAGGCAACAATTCCGCTGCTAGCCAACATGGAAATGGACGTTAATCGCCCGACTGGCCGCCATGGCAGCCTAATGACCATTTCCGCCCGCTGCTCCAACAACAACGACAACAGCACAGGGGCAACAAGGACATTGGCAGGAAGTGAGCCCACTTCCGGCCCGTCGCCGCCCAGCGGCTGTTGCGGCATCTTGGGCCGCCTCCTTTGTGTCAGCCGCCACAAAGCCACGCAATCGGTGGCAGGCAGCGATCCCTTTTCCCAGTTGCAACTGCAACGCAAAGGAGCAGCAGCTGGTGCGGCAGCAACAACAGCTGCGACTTCCGGCCAACGAGGCCGTCGCACGCCGCAGGAAATCTACTTCGAGAGTCGCGGCAAGTCCTGCAAGAAGCTATTGAAATTCAATGGTAATTCCAACAAGGTGAGTGGCAGGACGGGGAATCTCAATAGGTTTTCTTGCTCAAATAAAAAATGGTGATTCTGCGAGATGCGCATCAAATCCCAGCTCGCAAATCACTTGCATTTAGTGGCTTCCATTGAGTTCAAGTGGAATAATCAAGTCTTATTCTAGTATTGATTTTGGAACTGCCCTAACTTATAGGTATTTAGATCCTTTGCAAAATAGCTAAAATCAGTACCTACCTTACATTGTTTTATAACTGAAAAAAAGAATAATGCCAAAGTTACTAAATAGGTTCTGAGTTCCGCATTTTTTATCATTTCGATTTTATTGATAATATACTTCATAATAGGTCTTATGAAATAAAGAAATAAATATATACTGAGTGCAAGTTATTAAAAGTATAAAGCTCTTACATGAAAATTATAGAACTTGAAACTAGTAAATAAAGTTAACCTAAACAAAGTACTTCAGATCCTTACGAACAAGTAGATAATTGATTTTAGGTTTGACCCAGTGCTGATGAAATATCTTTAGAAAGTGGCGCAGAAACGCTATTTCGTTGTATAATAAAACACCTTAAGAGAATCCCAATGCTTATCGCATAATGGAACAATTCCCTTTCGAGCACATTGCAAACAATCCTAAAAGTGCATAAATTTTACAGTCTCCTGGTTACATTGTCATCCATTGCGAGGCAAAGACCCCAAAGCCGAAGCGCTGGCGCCAAAGTGCCATGGGCCATGAGCCATGAGCCATGAGCCACGAGCCACTCAACCGTAAGGTAGCCAATACCCTGGGGTCCTTTCTTCCCCCTTTGTCCCTTCTCCCCCCAATTATTATGCACGTGTGTTTGTGTGTGGGCCTTTGTTATAAATTTTGGAAAATTTGTAGCCAAAGCTGTGGAGTGAAGTTCGCTCGATTGCTACCGGTTTGTTTGGTTTTGGCCTAGGTAACAGGGAAAAAGGGAGCTGGGAACTGGGTGCTTGGAAAACGGGGCCAAAACACACAGTTATGCGAGTGTGCTTATGCCACTTTGCATATAAATCATTTGGCATTGTGGCCAGAGCGCAATGCGCTTATGAAATATTTCGTTTGTTTAATGCGCCAAAGGACAACATTCCAATTCCGTTCCACTCTTTGCCCCGATCTCTCCAAATTCCCACTAATTAAAAACGTGCAAAAGAAAAGCCAATCAAACAGGTCGATGCACAACAATGGCTGTTTGTTTCTTCTATTCCAAAAACCCAGAAAAAGAGATGTTCAATTATGCCAGAGCACTGGACAAAAAAGGAGCTTTTCACTCTACAGAGTTGAGTCCAGATAAAAATAATATTAAAGTTTTGACTCTCTTGTATAATTTACAAAGAAAAACTTCCCTTAATACAATAAATATGTTTAATGATCATTATATTTTAATCAAAGATAGATAACATTATTCTTTACCTACTTATAGTATTGAAGATTTTTCTTGAAAATAAAATGAAACATTCTCTTTTGTTATTTAATTGTCCATCTTAAAAACAATACATTTGTTCAATGTAAAATGTTATATATGAAAAAAAGACAATCTCAATTATAAGTTTTAGTTCCAGATCATATTGTTTTGTAAAACAAATCAAAGTAGTTTAAATCAAGACAACTACAATCATTATTTTTACACATATGTAAACCAAACGATCAAATACATATATATATATATTTACAAATGATATATATCATGTATTGCATCCGTACCACAAAGAGAAAAAGCCTCGAGGCAAAGGACAATTAGTCCTGATTTTAAGAGGAACAACTTTCCTATTCCCGAAATTGAAGTTCCCCCATTTTTTTTTCTCTGCACGAGTGTGTGTGAGTCCGATGCACATTTCACACAAACACACACTCTGCAATCTGCTGGGCATCACGCACTGAAGCGCAAGCAACAGGATGAATTTGTTAAACAACACGAACACGAAGGATCTGCAGGAGCTCGAAGATTGGGCAGAATGGAATGGGTTGGGGTTACGGGTGCATGCGAGAGCGAGAAGTGAAAAATGAAAAACCCATTCGCCCTATCAAGTGACATCATCAATTTCAGTCTATTTTGCACACAGTCGACTTGTGGCCCTGGTCGTCCGGCTCCTGGTCCTTCTGCTCGTCCTCGCAGTGCAACAATGCCAAAGGACATTAACACCAATCCGTTGACAACGAGTCCAGGAGTCCATAGTTCAGAGGAACGATGGAGACATTCTGGGCTCCCACTCCCGTAAAATTGAATTCGAAAAGCTTCACTCGGTCATTGAATCAACCGCTTTGAGCAGCCGAGTACCAAAGCACCTAGCTCTGCTCCTTTGATGAGCAATCTGATTACCCCCTAGTTTCGCCCTCAAAGGGTAGTTTACACTTCGTCCCCGCCATCGATTTTATAATGAAGCAATAGCTTAGGTAAAACAAAAACTGTTTACTTGCGGGGGTGTGAGAGCGGACAGAATAAATTGTACTGGGTTGCAACCACCCAAAAAAACGGAAATCAACCCTCAGATGAATGTACTTGTATATATATTTTTACGGATAATGTTGCAAGTGAAATCTGTCGAGTGAAGTTTACCCTCTTAACCGAATGCAATAATGCTGTAAGATATATTTACATTAACAGCAGGGTTTGTTGGGGGAAGGTGTCTCGAAAGTCAGGGAATACCTGGGCATATACGAATTGATAATAAGTCGAAGAAGTTCAGTGTTAACCCAATAAGATACTTAAACAATATACCCCATTTACTTCATTATCAGAGCAACTACAATGGCCATTACAATATCCTTTATGTCTTTATCTTCACATTTAGTTTTAATCACCCATTTTTTATGCTCTATAATTAGTTTCACATGCACAAAGGCCAAAGCAATCAAGGACTGAGGAAACTCAAAGAGCAGAAAGAGTATTATGAAAAAATGGACGACCTCTTGAAGCAAGGCGGAAGTGACTAGCCACTGTCCCCGCCCCTCTTTCCAGCCCATTTCCCCACCCCCCCTACATGTCCTTGTAAGCTGCTGCCTGTCTGTGAGCATCGTTATGTCCTGGGTGTCTGTGTGTGTGTGTGTGTTTGTGTGTCTGCATACATATGCATAAAAGAGGAAGAAAATGCCATCAACATTGCAACGTTGTAATTGCCAACAGGCAATGAAGAGCCACAGCCAAAAGCAGCAGTTGGCGAAAGGGAGGAGGGGGGCGGGGAAAGCGCAGCAAACTGCCAACTGCCACATGTCCTGCCAGCTCAGCTCCAACTGAAAAAAAGGACCCTCCGCCTGGTCACTCACTGCTAACGAGGGTCTCTTGTAAAATGTTCAATTAAACCAAGATACAAAACGAGTATTGTACTTAAAAACCCCAGCCTAATCGTTGATTTGACTAACTTTTAAAATTATTCATATAACATAGTCATGATCTAAAAAGTCGAAACGGTTAAGATCTTATTCCTCTTTCTTTGGATAAGATCAAATCAAAATCTCTTAACTAAAAGCGTAAACTTACTAAAACTTATATGGCCAATTTGAATGGTCATTAATTCGCATTACTTTCTATATAAAGTTAAAAAATACATAAAATATTTATCGCAATTTTCACAACTTACCAACAGAAAAGTAACGAGACTTGAATTATTTTTTTGATAGTTCTAGTAAAAGTAGGTCTATAAAATTAGAATCTGCAAAAAGTATTTTGAAAGCAAAGTATATAATAAAGAGGTATAATATATCAGAATATTTATTACTTGTTTTCAAATGTGTATCAACCAATAAGGATAACCAACACACTACAGATTTAGGCCTATCAAAATGGGTATTTATTTAAAGGTAAATGAAAGCCTTTTTTATAAACATATATTTTACCAAACTGATACCAACTTAGGACTTAAACTTATAAAAAACTCTGTATATAACTACATGCCATAGCTTTCTAGATCATATGATATTTAACAAATTTTGGCTACTCCCTTTAAACTGGGTCGTGAATTTGTGAAACACTCCTTTCGCAGGATTTGTGCGTTGGGCCGACTGGTCTGTGCGACATTTTTAGCACACGGCTAATGTGTTTTGGCTGGCGCTGATGCTGCAGCAGTTCGCAGCTCTCAGTTTTTGAGCTGGACGCAGGACGTAGGACGAAGGACGCAGGACACTGGATTCAGGGACATCGGGATGGGGAGGGGTGAGGGGATAACGAGGGGCTTTGCGGTCCACTACAAACTGCACTGGCCGGACTGACTGATGAGCTGGCCGGCTGAGTGTCGCCTCTGGTTTTGCTGTTTGCTGATTTGGCCAGCCCCAAACTATTCATTATAATCAGGCCTGATTATGTCTGCCCAAAAGTTAAGCAGGCCAAGTCAATTTGCGAGTGTATTTATTTAACTGGCGGGCAAACGGGAAACGCCAGAAGCCGGAAAGTTGAATGTGCTGTGTGTGTATAAAATAAAAAGTCATAAAACTGAACCGTTAATCCAAGTAGTTGAAACACAGACCCTTTTTTCTTCGTTTTTTTTTTTTTTTGCTGCCCAGCAGATGAAGCGGTTTGGTGGCCTTTATTTGGCTGCCGGGAGTTTCCTTTCCCCTCCCATTTCCACTACCATTTCTTTTTTCATTGGCGATGACGATGACAAGGGTGCTTTGCCGCCTCACTGACTAAATAAAATTGGAATTTATTATCATGATTTGTAGCAAGAAGCGGCAGTAGCTCCTCCGCCCAGAGACAGCCGCAAAATGGAGGGCATGAAAAGCACAGCAGTGCCATTCCTCCTCATCAGATCCCAAACTCTCTGACTCATCGTCGAATCCCGAACGAACGCCTAACCGAAAGTCATAGACTTAGATAAGTAAGCGGGGCGCACTCTTAAATTTATATGCCCTGGCAAAGATTTAAATCGCTCGGGTCAAAGTTGAAGGCAACGCCTACTCCCACATACCCAAAGTGGGCGTGGCAGCTGCCGCAGAAGGCTTAACTGTGTGCAGTTTCTTGCTGGTTTATTAGGGTTTTCCCGCAAGCTGCTAAG